ACAAAACCTCCTAAGCGCAGACTTGCTGGAAGCCATCAATAGTAAACTTAAACAATATAAAAAATGCAATTAACGAAAATAAACACAACATGAGTGATATGCAATTATCAACATATATGATATTGATCTGAGTATAATAAAGATTACAGAGATTTGTTAACAACATGTTTACGTATTTTCACATCCATTATCATGTGAGTACATCTGAGCATCATTTTAGTATACTTATAACTTCACCCACTTCTTCAACACTTCCAGATGTGGATAGTCACTACTTGCATTCTCATGTAAATGTTTCAATATATATGCACAACACCATAAACAATTATAAATGACAGCATACTTGCATAAAAGAAATTTAGGGTTTTTGATAATGGTTGTGATGACTTGAAAATTATCAACGGAAAAAAACTCCGTTGAAATTTTCGACGGAAAAAAACCAAAATTCCATTGAAAGTTTCAACGGACCAAAAATCCGTTGCAATTTTAGACGGAAAATATTCCGTCAAAAGTTTTGACAGAAAAATTTCGTTGCATTTTTTGACGGAAAAAAATTCCGTATAAATTTTCAACGGAAAACTATGCCGTAGCAATTTTCAACTGAAAATTTTCGTTGAAATTTTAAACGGAATATTATTCCGTTGTAATTATCAACAGAATTTGTTGTCCGTCAATATTTTTCGATTAAAAGTAATTATGTGATAAATTTTTGACAAAAAATTTCAACGGAATTCTATTTCCGTGAAATTTTTTGACGGAATTTATTTTTCGTTGAAAATTTCCGTCTCAAAATTCAACGGAAATTTTTTCCGTCTCTAATTCCAACGGAATTGAATTTTCGTCAAAAATTCTGTTACTATTTTTTACGGAATATTTTCTGTTGATAAATTCCGTCGATAATAGAGCTTTTTTTAGTAGTGCTCCCGGCCCCGCTCTGCTTTCCGAGTTCCCGAGGCGGCGCTGAGAATGAGAGGTGGCGGCACTTCAATAGTCATCCGCATTTGTGTGCACTCTCTGCAAACCTCCATTGCAACGTAGCAGAACAAACAACTATATTATCAACATCTTATTTATATGGTTTAGATTAATTTGATATTTGAATCGTTGGATCAAGCAAATTAAATGTAAAGATTTAGTTCTTATTCTTACACTCTATATATATATATATATATATATATATATATATATATGGGAAATAATACTCTCATGCCACATGAGATACTCTCATTTTCCTACACAAATTCGTTTTCCGTGCCAAATAATTTTTCTTTTCTTTTTTAATATAAAATATGGGACCCACATTTAACTTCTCTCTACTTTTTTTCTCTTACAATCCTACAACATAAGAAAAGTTAAACCCTATATATATATATATATATATATATATATATATATATATATATATATATATAGGGTAATAGTTTTCTTATGTAGTAGAAGATAAAAGTTATCTTCTACACACTCATTGGTATAGGTGGGTCCATTTTTAGGGGAAGAGAGAGAAAAAGTAAAGTGGGACCCATCTTGAATTTGTGTGTGTAGGAGATAGATTATATTTTATGCAACATAAGAATAATAAATCCCATATATATATATATGAAAAAAGTGTTTATCCTTTTAAATCACACAACTTATATTCTTTCACTCTCACAAAGAGGTGGGACCCACACCTTTATTATTTTTGTCAACTCTCTCCTCCTCCTTTATCTATCTCTTTCTCTCTCTTTTTTTTTCTTTTTTTTTTTTTTTTGTAAATAAAGAGGGGCTAAGCCCACTTTCTCTCTCTTTAAATGACATAACTTTACATTCTTTAAAATGACACACATTTTTCCTATATATATATACATATAAGTTTTACATACATTTCTGATTTTGTTGTAGAAATATTTTTCTGACACACTCACATAAAAAAAAGGTCCATTGTAAAAGATGAAAGAAAAAATTTAGTAAGATTAACTCATTTTTGTGTGAATATGGCACAAAAAATATTTCTGCAGTAAAAATAATTTTTTTTCTCCATATATATATATTATATATATGTGTTATGAGGCAGGATCATTTGACACCGGTGTCAAAGGAAAAGTTTGACACCTCGTCTGAGAGTCGTTAGATTAAAAAAAAATCAATGGTGTCACATGCTTACAAATTAGAATCGTTGATATTTTTTAATCTAACGACTCTCAAATGAGATGTCAAACTTTTCATTTGACACCGGTGTCAAAGAATCCTGTCTCATGTGTTATATATAATAAAATATTTTTTGTAACTTTATTTTAACAAGAAAAAATTATAATAAAATCTTAATTTTGTTCAATAAATTTCCCAATTAGGTATTAATGCTGAGTGAACAGTCAGCACATACTGCTTAATAGTCAGCACAAAAACCCGTTATTCTGCGGGAATTGAATTGAGTATTGAATTGCAGGAGCACTCACCAATCATGTTCTTTTGATCCATACATTTCGTTGACCGTGTGTAGTAGCAGTGACATTTATGGCGTTGATGTCCAAGATCAACTTGGTGTTTGCGTTTGTGATACTTTATCTGCATGCGCCAAGCCAGTGCCGCCTTAAGTCTATCTGAACACGCATCCTCCTCGCGTCACATGTCACCCTTGTCACTGTTTGGTGTTCCTTCTTGACCCATTGCATTCTTTGAAGCTTGAAAACTTTATCTGGTTACATCTAGGTTTCTCCTACTTTTTGTGCTTTGGATGGATGCATGGTGGATTTTATTTTCTCTCTGTAATTTTATCTGCAGCCTTGCTCTTCTTTTCGTTTTCCTTCTTTTAAGGATGGGTTTTCAACTTTTGAGCCTACTTAACTTACAAAAAGAACATTCCGCCAAATATATAAAATCAAATCTTATGCAAATAACCTTTTCCAAGGTACAGCTAGATTTCTTTTACTTTTTCTTTTTGTTTTCTTTTTTACATTTTAGAACGGATTCTAAATAACCCTAGTCACTAGTCTGTCAGTGTGAGATTACATTTGTATAGTTATTAGAGTATGAGAGAAATAATAGCATGCAAAAATATTTTTTTTTTTTAGAGTTACCCAACCCTAATTACCTCTTTCAGGCGAGTTGGCTCTCTCCGGTATCCCCACGAGCTTCGACTCTTTGAGTCGGCTATGAGACTAATCCAGAGTGCGGGAGATCAGTGATGGCTAAAGGTTCAGCCCCCTATCCAAGAATGCATTCAGCAGGAATCGAACACATGTCCAACCCCACTAACTCAGCGCCAAGTTACCAACTGAGCTGCACCCATTAACAATCACTTCTTAATTTTTTTGCAGCAACTTATTATAACTATATATATATATATATATATATATATATATATATATATATATATGGCTTTAATGGATAAATTATCTACATTCAGTCTCAAAACGGCGTCGTTTTGGGTTGAATTAAAAAATTATAATGAAAAAAATGTATTATAATTCTGAAATGAATTATAATTATAAAAATATGAAATCATTTTGGACTCAATGCAGAAAAAACCATATATATATATATATGGGTGAAAGATTTCTCAAAACTGTCCTAGAACCTTGATAATAACAGCTCTCTTTTTTCTATTGTTTTTAACATGGTAATAATATATCAATTCTTAAACGTCGATATTTTCTTTTATTCATATTTAACTTCTAATGTAAATTGGCCATTAGTTTCTTTCCTCTCTTTTCCCCCTCAATGTTTAGTTTAAAAGATTCATACAGAATTTTATTTTGCACTAGACTGTTGGCTATGCTTTTCATCCTGTTTGAGCACTTTTGGGTTTAGCTGCACAAGTTCTATGTCGCCATATATAAACTGCTTAAAAATATATTTGCCTCATTTTATTGACTGTAACAATCTTAAGGTGCTGTTACGTACAGTAAAATCAAATACATCAACAGATAATCAACCACTATTCCTTTTCCCTATTCTCCAAAAAAAAAAAAACACTATTCTTTTTTCCTAGTGCATCCAATATGACAAAGACTCGTCACGCGAGAACTATTATCCTTGACTATTCAAGGCAAACTAATATTTATCTTCGTTACGTGAATCATGCATGACATTTTTTTTTTCTTTGAGGGGTCATAATCATGTCAATGGTAGGACACTTAGGAAAACAAAAACAAAAAACAAAAATAAGTAGATAAAATTGGACCACAACTGCTGGGCCATGTTACAAAATTTGAATGAGAAAAAGGGTGGTCCTATTGGCCCACTCTAGCAAACAAATAAAAGCCATGAACATACACACTAGTGACTCTTATTAATTAAGAAAACCTTGCTTGCTACCATTACTATCAACGCTCTTATAGAATATACATGATCCTCCAACCACTATAACACAACACTCACCATCTATTGGAAGTTCACACAATTCACAGTACTCACCTCTGGGGGGCTGAGAACCTATGTAGCTAGACGTTTCAACTTCATCTCTCTTATGAGCTTATTTGCTCTCACTTCAATTCCCAAAGCCTAGCCCTCACCTATACCTTACAACCCAACCGGATGTCTTTTCCTCTTAATGCCCTTCCTTTCCTTCAATGTTAGTTCCTCTCTCTGTCATTCCCGAGATATAAGACATTATGGTCTTAGGAAAGAGAGACAGAAGAAATCAACGTTAATCTTAATCACCCTTGTTAAATCCATGTATGCACCAAAATCAATGGTGAAAGGAGGGAAGGGGGGGCCATTTGGGCAATTATTGCATTCTCGTAAAAATTCTACACGTCTTCGAACGAAGACGACGAAACCTAAGCCTCTCTCTGTGCAGCTAACCGCCATGTTTTCAGAGATGTCCTGCACCAAAAACAATACGCATGTTAATCCTCTCTCTCTCTCTCTCTCTCTCTCTCAAAGACTCAACCATTTTGTTCAGAACCTTTTAATTATTATTATTATAACTCTATAAAAAAGAGTGCTTGAGCCATGAAAATAATGAATAATCAACCTATATCTACAATCTTCCTATAGAGTAGTAGTGATTTTCAAAGATGGAGGAGAGTCATGAGAATGAGGAGGTGGGGATGGGAATGGGAGGGTCGAGTGGGATTCCAGCAAGTTCAAGATGGAACCCTACAAAAGAGCAAATAAGCATGTTAGAGAATCTCTATAAGCAGGGAATAAAGACACCAACTGCTGAGGAAATTCAGCAGATAACTACTAGGCTAAGAGCGTATGGTCACATCGAAGGAAAGAATGTCTTCTATTGGTTTCAGAATCACAAAGCCAGGCAAAGACAGAAGCAGAAGCAAGAAACCATCGCTTATTTCAATCGCTTTCTTCATAGGCCACAGTACCCCATTTTTTCTCCACCGATTTGCCCTGATGGTTGGTTTGGTTCAACTCTTCAACTATATTAATTAATACTTCATTCATTCATTTTTTTATTTTATTTTAACATACAAAACCAATATATTGCATTACTAGCTTAATGTCTATTTGATAATACATAGAAATTACATATATATCTTCATCGATTGCTCTCTTGTAAGTACTATTATTTTATTTTATTTTTTTGGTTTTTATTGATTAAATATTTTTTCATTATTGAAAAAGCAATCGGTCTCTTGATGCAAATGTACTCTGTGTGTGTTAATCAAAAGGTGAAACTAAAAGATCTTAGGAAAAATAAAAATATTAGAAACTTATTATCTTTTAAGTGTCTGTGTCCTCTTTTGCTTGGCCAGTTCATGATATTTCTTTTTCTTTGTTGTCTTGTATGAAAACTCCCTTTTCATTTGATCTTGATATTTTTTTAAACTGTTACATTTCTCTCTCTAGTTTCTTTATTGGTAATTGAAGGGTTTTTGGTATTCAGCACTCTGCGCCACATACTGCATACCTCAGGCACAGAGTGAAATCGGTTATTATCCCCAACATCCAAAGGTGCTTCTACCCATAGGTTATAGGAGGAGCCAAGCTGAGAAAGTTGTTGTGCCCACAACAATGTCGAGTGTCTGTAATGGCCCGATGGTATATGAAGGCATGCAACAAAGAATCTCGGATTCGAACTTCAGCTACAGTTATCAAGAAACGTTGGATCTCTTTCCTATGCATCCAACTGGCATTTTGGAAACAAGAAAAACAGACCAGGTGTCTTCTCTGGCTTCAGTTTCTGCTGATAGTTGTTCCAATGATACACCTTCTGGTTCTGATATCAATGAAGAAGATGGTGTTCCACGAAACCAACCCTTCTTTGATTTTTTTACTTCCGGACATGAAAGGTTCTCAAGAGAGTGATTATTAATGTTATTAGGAAAAAATACTAACATGCAACTTTGGTGTTCCACATTGTCAATCACTGAAATGGGTTATGTCTTTTGAGTTTATTGTGATGAGATTTGGTGTTCCACATTGTCAACCTGGCGTATTTTACTGCCACCCTTTCATGCATGGCGTCCATTCATAAAATAATTCTTTTTGCAGACTTGGAAACAAGAAACTGATATCGTAACATTTTGGTTTTTGGAAGGGCAAAACAACTTTGACCTTACTGTTAATTTTTATCTATGTAATACTATACTGCAGTTCAATATAACTATTTTATTTCATAGATATATAAGTTTTTATTTTCCAGATCTCATCTTAATTTTGTTGGCCCCAATATTTCCTCTTGAATTGTGTTTTATTAGTATTTGCTAATGTATAATAGAGTATTGTGTAAATTTACATTATTATTCTATCAAAGTCGTCTAGTAGTGAAGGATTTGGAATACATGTTATATTAGATTATGTGTTCAATTTCTACTTATATAAAATAAAAATAAAAATAATCAATCAAAACTAAACTCATTTATTTATACTAATTTGTTGTATTAAACTAACTACTTTTCATGAATTATTTTCTCATTAATTCAATAGCTTGTTAGTTTATACAACAAATGTAAGTGAGTTTAATTTAATACAACAAATTAGACAAAACATAATTTTTTTTAATACATTGGTAATCGAACACAACACTTACTACTCACTACCTACCCTCTCACCACTAGGCCCTAGTGGCTTGAAAAGAAATTTTCTCTTGTTATGTGGACACTGAACAAGACCAAATAGTTTTCCTCTACAACCCATGTATTGTTTTTCAATTTGAAAGAGAATAGGAAAACTTATTCATTCTTAATGTACTTAAAACAAACTTAAATACTCTTAATTTTGTCTATCAAAAAAAAAAAAAAAACAAACTTAAATACAGTAAAAGAACATTATATATTTATATATACAGTTGCACTTTACCGGTTTTGGAGGGTAAAATGATATACTCAATTGGAAATAGATCTTCTAATATGGAAAAAAAACATGACATGGTCATGTGAGAAGATCACAACCATACAAAAGTAAATCAACGGTTATGATTTTGTAACTATCTATTTTAATATATTTTCTCTCTCCTCCTTTATCACCGTTGATCTACCTTTGTATGGTTATGATTTCCCACATGACATGGTCATGTGATTTTTCACTTATACTGATACCGACCTAATTAGAAGGCTTAAATTTATATGAGGTAATTTAGGACTTATCACCCATTATATATGTGTATGTGTATCCAACATCTTTGTTCTCTTTTGTCATTTAATATGAGATTTCTATTTTTTGACATTGCTTCAGAACGAAACCTATGAACAATATGAAAGCTATTATGATTATTAGTTTGGGGTTGATGCGCATGGACTATACGTGATGGTGAGATTACACATGTTGTTGAGACAGTGTGTGCGTGAAATGCAGTGTACATGAACCCTTTTTTGACTTGATCTGTATAATCTCTTTCTCTAATATTATGAATATATATGTGATAAACGGATCTTATATTGCGGTTTAATCCGTGCTCGTGTTGTGTACCAATTTCAATTTTATATTATTTTATTGAAGAAGTCATTGTGACAACTGTCCGTAACATTTAGTTTACAAAAGAAAAAGTGATTAAATAGACATTAATTGATGCTTCTACAATGTAAGTTATAATTTTTTTAACTTGGAATTGCGAAATTAGTACCCAAAAAAAAAAAAAATTGGAATTGCGAATTAATCTATGCATAGATGTCCACTGGTTATGAAGTGAAATTGTATACGAAAGTAGCGACACTCGAGATTGTCGATGGACGTAGACATGTAGGCTGCTATTTCGATCCGCTTAAGTTACTTCAACAGTTCAACTTTTGTTTGTGTCCGTAAAACCTAATATCCAATCCGAAATTTTCTAATTGAAAGAATAAAAACAAAAGGAACTCCTGATTTTATTGTTCAACAACTTCACTTCGTGGTCCTACACCTAGGCTCCTTCTTAGCAGAGACAACGTCCCCCCCCTACTACTATTTACTATAGTCATTGGTTACTTTATCAAGTCCAATCCGAACCTTTTCTTTCCAAGTGCATATAATTGATTGATGATTTTGCAAAAAACATTCATCTTTATAAAAATGGGGCCTCTCTTTCAAAAGAAGCGACTCCAAGAACATACCTTCCTCCCTAGTATTGCTCTTTTGGGTAATGTGTAGGGCGCTCCTAGTCCAACGGGCGAATCATTAATAGCTTCAACTTTGAATAGTTGCCTATGCTATGACTTGTTTAATTATTTTTGAAGCAAAACGTTGTTTCAAACATAATCCAACCATCAACAAGTACATGGATCAATTGATAAAGAATTGTTTTAACTTCTTAGTGGTCTTTAGTTTATGTAAAACACTAATTATACCCAAAACCTTATATTAGTAAGTGATTGTTGAGTTTATGTTTTTTGACCAAAGCTCAATTGCGCTCATCAGCCTCCAATGATATTGCTGTGATATCTCAGATTTGAAATCTGAGAGTGTCCACATACTCTTTTCCCTTTTTCTTAAGAATAATTTGGAATTACTATCTAGAAAGTGAGGGTGGTAAGAATCGAATTGGTCACCGCGTGGTCACTTTTAAGTGATGAACCTTCAATAATTTTATATTATATCTCTTTAAAAGTTTGAGTCCTAATTCTTATATACACAACTATGTTAAAAATTTGGTGAGGAAAGGCGCAAAGCTTCAAGTTTTGTGTTAAAAACATAATTTATCTATAATTTTCATATATTTGATTTGTTTAGAATTAAAAACAATCAAAAGTTAGCTTTTAAATAAAAACACTAACTCTTACTTTAGGGGAACACTGACCAAAATGCCACTGTTCACCAATTTTTTTACTTAAATACCACGCAAACAGTGTTATTTTTCAATATGCCACGGTGGCAAGTTCGCTACCATGTGTAGCGAACTCGATTTGCTGACGTGTCACATTTTTAATGGATAACAAGTATCAAATTTTAAAAAAAAATAATAAAAAAAATGAAAGTTGGCGAACTTGGTTAAAATCAAGTTGGTGTCCACTAGAAACGTGACACGTCAGCAAACCAAATTCGCTACACCGGGTAGCGAACTTACCCCCGTGGCAGATTGAGAAATAACACTGTTCGCGTGGCATTTAAGTAAAAAAATTGGTAAACAGTGACATTTTGGTCACTGTTTATACTTTAGGAGATTACTTTACATTATGTTAAAATGATAATATTTTTTAAAAGTATAGTATTTGTGAAAAGTAAATTAAAAATTAAACAATTTATAAGGATTGGACAATCAGAGGCGATTGACCTTTGTGGATCCAAGGATACATCAAACGTCAAACGTCACAATAAGAGGCCCATTACTTGTACCTGACCGGCCCTGCATGTGCATCTGATTGCATTTGATTTAAATTATTATTTGTATATTTTACCCCCCAAAAAAATTATTATTTGTATATGCAACACACAAGCTTTGTGGACCCTTTACGAGGCGAGGCCCTTAGGTTGGGCTTTAACATAACCCCTAGGCTAATTATAAAGATCAGGAACAGGCTCTAACAAATGTCAACAATTACATTCAAGTATAATTGGTTTCAAAATATCATTATTGTTATAGAAAAAGATTATGAAGAAAAGAAAATTCGTATCCAAGTAAAAGTTAGGTAGTAATTCAAGGAAGATAGGAGAGTGTACTCATAAAGATATCATAAAGTTATAAAATTTATATAGTTACAACAATAAAAGGTAATATATTATGGTGGGAGTGTTGGAAAGCTTAATTTTTGCAAATTTAATTTTTTCAAGTGAAGATTGACTAAAAAAAAAACCGATCTCAAGCTGTGATTTTTTCACTAAACTAATATAGTATTAGAGGTGGATCTTGCAAACTCTTTTACTAAGAATTTGCTTGAACTTGTGTTCGAGAGGTATGTCTTAAGAGGATCTCATACTTGCATTAATCGAGTGAGAGATTTTATGTTTGTTGTTGTAAAAATGCTGAATACTAAAATACTTTCAATTCATTCATACTTTTCCTCTTTAATTGAGGTGTATTTATACACAAGTAATTCATAAACATAATAAATCTAAAGCCTAAAAATCCTCTAACAATTCCTAAACAAACTTTAACAATTCCTAAACAGACTTTCTGTTACAAACAGTAATTTCAAAAATACATTTACAACAATATTTCAAATTCAAAACTTCTTATTCTAACACTCCCCCTCAAGTTGGTGCATGGATATCAAGCATGCCCAACTTGTCAATTGTTTCTTTTAGAACCTTTCCAGAGACTGCCTTTGTTAATATGTCTGCAAGCTGATGTTCAGATCTGATAAAAGGAGTTGTGATGATTTTCTGATCCAGCTTCTCCTTTATAAAATGTCTATCCACTTAAACATGTTTAGTTCTATCATGTTGAACCGGATTATGAGCAATTTCAATGGACGCTTTATTATCACAATACAGATTCATAGGAATGTCATACTTGATGCCTAAATCATTCAGAATATTTTTAATCCATAGGAGTTCACAAATACAATATGTCATACCTCTAAATTCTGCCTCAGCAGAAGATCTTGCCACAACCTTTTGTTTTTTACTTCTCCATGTGACTAAGTTGCCTTCTACTAAAGTAAAATAGCCTGAGGTGGATTGTCTAGTAGTCTTGTCTCCAGCCCAATCAGAATCAGTAAACCCTTCAATGCCTTTCTTGCTGTTTTTTGAAAAAAGAATACCTTTTCCAGGTGTCCCCTTTAAGTACCTCAAAATCCGGTATACAGCTTTCATGTGCTCCTCACTAGAGGAATGCATGAACCTACTTACTATCCCAACTGCATAGGCAATGTCTGGCCGAGTATGTGAAAGATAAATAAGTTTTCCCACTAGCCTTTGATATCTTCCAATTTTCGGCTTCCACTTGATTAGGG